ATCATTTCACAACTTGATCGTAACACAGGTTTAACAACCTTTAAGAACCAGTAATAAGCCTGTCAACATTATAATGCATTGGAACCCTAACAGTCACCCTTGCAGCTGAAACAAGCAACACTGTTTTTTCCGCCTCCCTGGTATGGACCAAGCTCCAGGCTGGATGGAGCTCTTTGGTTCCCTAAGGCCTGTAAGAAGTGCTGAGAGGGCCAGAAAGCAGCAGTTTCTCCCTGCTAACTCTGTATATGTCTGTAGAGGTCCAGATAGATTTATGTTCACTTTTTTTCCCTCCCACCTCTTGCTCTAAGCCACTTTTTAAATTTTCTCCTGAGTAGGTAAATTTATGGTTTTTTTCATCTGGAATAAACTCAAGAGATTTAGCAAGCTGCATAGTGTCAGTGTATTGAAAACTAAAAATTGATATGAGAATTCAAAAAGACCTAAAAAATGTAATTATATTGATCATTAATTTGAAGCAAGTACCCTTGAATCGAAGTAAATAACAATTTTGAAAAAGAAAAACAGTTTGACATTTACATCACCGGATATCAAGACTTACTATAAGTGAGACAATGATATGCTGGGGTCAGCCTATTACCAGCCTGAAAGCCTAATGTTGAATTTTAAAAAGTTTTACAGGTTGGTTGTTGTCATATTGGTTATTTGAAATTGTCTTTTGTAAGAGTATTTCTTAAACAAAAATCAGCAAACCACAGATCAGGGCCACACTACCGCCTCCCAGCCACTGGGAGCCTGTTGCACCCATCAGGGCTGTGCCATCTCAGGAAAGCTGTCTAAGCCAGCGCGCCCCTACTGTTTGGCAGGGCTGTGGCAGGCCCTGCTGGAGGTCTTTCAGAAGAAATCAATCTTCCACATTAGTTTTGGATTTATACTCAATATCTTCATCAGCACTTTGGACAGGCATGTGTTTTGAAGGGACAGATAGTGGTTCTGCTGCCCCTACAGGTGCAACAGAGCAGACGAATTTTTGGCAAAATGCTGCTGGTCCCCACAGCCGAAACAAGCAGCTCTGTTTTTTCCCCTTTCCTCCAGGCTGCGGACCAATAACCCGAGTGATAGCTGCTGCTACGTATGAGGGACCACTGTCTACACGACTTTGAATCTTCTTAGACAGTGTGGCTTGTTTTCTGTGGGCTCCTAAAGCCTATGCACGCCATTTATTATATTTTTAAAGGCCAACTGTTGAACAATTAACTTACAGGATGACTCTTATGAAGGGTAGAAATTGCAGCCTGTGGTATAGCAAATTTCCCCAAACTGAGAAGGCCGGAATTGTCACTCATTTAAGGTTATCGGGGTGGCTGTTGTTCTGCCATCTTTTTCTCACTTGGGACTTGATTTTAAAATAGCGCTTCAAGCCAAATCCTTCGTGATTGTCCCAACAAACTTACAACCATTGACACGCTTTCTAATGTAAGTCCACAAAAATAAAGTAAATACAGAAATCAAGAATATAACAAACAGTTCCATATACATTTGTGGTTCTTGAGAACTTGTTTGCCCTGTGTTTAACAAATGGTAAAATTGGGCTGGGGACTTAGCTCAGCGGCATAAGCGCCTGACTTGTAAAGCAGGCAGTCATGAGTTTGATCCCCGGTACCGATAAAAAGGAAAAAGCCAAAAAAAAAAAAAAAAAAAAAAAAAAAAAACCAAATGGTAAAATCAATACACCTCTTTTTTTTCTGGCTTCTTCCAAGCTCATTTATCTCTCTGGTCCTACTGAACTCGTTTCTATGCCCCAAGTTTAACATCTGATGATGTCAATATCAATATATTCCTGAGATGAATCTTGACCACTACCAATGCATTTGTCCTCCTTATGCATGTGCATGAGAAGTGTCCCCTCATCCACCATCTCTTTTCACCTTGGTCCCTGTTCGGGTGCCTTATGCCGTGTACCACAGCAGCTCTCAAAGTTTCCAGGGAGGGAAGGACAGTGAAAGAGCAGACAAAAGCTGAGATCAAGGGCTGGGGATTCAGCTCAGTGACATAAGTGCCTGCCTGGCAAGCACAAGGTTGTGAATTCGATCCCCAGTAACAAAAGAAAAAAGAAAAGCTAAGGTCTGGTGAGCCTCTCTCCTGATGGAAGGAAAGAAACTGCTCAACCATCTTAGCACGTTTATTTATACACTCAGGAGGATGATGTCAATTTCAACCCCTCTGCCTAGTAACTTGTTTGCCTGGCTCCTCTGAGCCCCTGGCCTTCTGCGAGCTGAAACAGTTTGTTTATGTGACTCACTTTGGGCTCTCCATGTTCTCAGGGCTGCCTTCTTTACCCCTACAAGTGTGATTGATCTCCAGCTTCAACTGTTCCCTATGAAAGAGGGAGAGAAGAAGGAAGTCTGACTTTTTCTTCAGAAGAGCTCTCATCTCTGATATTGCCTTTGGAAGTCATCTACAAGTCCTTCAGGTTTCCAGCACAGACCACTTGGCTTTGCTACATGAACTCACACTAGACTCAGCAGTGATCTCCAGGTCTTTGACTTTTCCTTTTTTTCTTTTTTGAGACAAGATCTCACTATGTAGTTCAGTTTGGCCTTGAACCCGTGTACTCATTTATGTAGCCCAAGCTGGCCTCAAACTCACAGAGATCCTCCTGCCTCAGCCTCCCTAGTGCTAGGATTGTAGGCATATGCCACCATGCCCAGCATCCCTTTGACTGCATCCAGCATGCAGATAGCCATCTTGTATTCTTCCACCCAGTTCTGCAGGTGGCCATCCTAAGCCTACATGGTAAATCCTTTACATATCATATTTTTAAATATTAAATCTATTCCCATAGTGAATCCTAGGCATCTGGCACTGAGTCGCAAGCATTTGGGTGATAATTATAATGAAAGCTGCCTCCAAAGACGGGAGAGGATTGAAGAGAGATCTTGTTGCTCTGTAGGGTGCTCATAGAGTTGTTTTTCAGGTTCCATTTTTTTTTTTTTTTTTTTTTTTTTTTGTACGAGGAATGGAATTCAGGACCTTGCACTTGCCAGGCAGGTGTGTATGCTGTTGAGCTACCTCCCCAGCCCCATGGTGTCAATTTCAAATTCTTATTGTATGTCTCTTCTTACAGCTTGGTGTGGGATGTTCTCATTTTCACAATACTTTCACCCTGATTATTTCAATCATTCAGCAGCCTCTACAAAACAATCTTGCCACCTGGGCACAGTGGTATAATCCTCTAACCCTAGCTACTCAGGAGGCGGAGACAGAAGGATCCCAAATTCAAGCCAGGGCACTGAGACCTTGTCCTAAAAATGAGAGGGATGGACTGGGGTTAGGACCCAATGGCAGAGCACTTGTCTAACATGCACCAGCCCTAGCATTCGATCCCAGTGTCACGGAAAACAGGAAAAACTAAACAAAATCCCTCCCCAGGCTGATTCCACCTAAGAGATACGGGCACCCCACCTGGCTTAAGTCCCTGCTCCCTGGGCTCAATTTCCTCACCTGCCAAGCAAGGATTCTCACAAGTAATCCTTAGCACTCAGCAACAGGCTCCTGATCCCTACCTACTGCAGCCCAGGCAGGGGAGCAATATTCCAACTGGGCAGGCAAGGAGACTGAAGCCTGGAAGCTGCCAGCCAGTGGGACGAGAGCACGTCTGTCCCGCTGCACGGGGAGTTCTGTGCACTGCACTGTGCACTGTCCTCATTACAGGGCTGGAGTGAGGTCAGGGAGTCACAGTGGCCTCACCAACAAAAAAGAACCTGCACCCCCTCCCTCCTGCTCTCAGCAGAGCTGTTGTCGTCTCTGACCACACTGCAGCTGCTGCTCACTTGCATGCCAGGCTCTGCTGCCACAGTGCACAGGGCCTGCTGGAGCCTGGGCTCTGCTGGGAGCTGACGGTGGGTGTCCTCCTGCCACCAGGCTGAGAGGGCGGATGGAGCGGGCCAACCCTCCTCTGGCCTCATTCACACGTCACCAGCCTCACTTCACCCTGCTGATACTGCCTCATCCTGGAGCTGCAGGCTGCTCCTGGTGGGCGAAGATGGGCACCACACTTCTGGGCACCTCCTGCTCACAGCGACACACACAGGGAAGCCGCACTGGAGTCAAGCTACTTGAAAGGTTTGATCCCGGCCCCCACCCCCAACAGTAGGTTAGATGCTGATCGAGTCCTATTGTTAGCAAAACCAAACCAAGGCAAAGCCTCTTACCCAGGCACTATGGCACCCAGCTGCTCCCAGGTGCCCACTTCAAGGCCAGGTCAGTGGAGTAAGCGCCCAATTCTGCAGGTTGACACTGACTAGCTTGCAACCTGTCTCTCTGAGCCTCAGTTTCCAGATCTAGAAAGTGGGGGTGCATGGGTGTCTCCTTCAGGTCATTGAGGATTGGATGAGGTCATACACATGAACACCCAGCCATGCGAGCTACTGGTATGTGAATGCACATTCTGGTGGGGTATCTAACAAGTGAGGCACGCACTGGCCAGTGCTAGAAAGCAATGAGCCAGGAGGCCAGTTCCTGACCTCACCACGTGTGGTCTGATCGTGGAAGGCATGGGTATTAAGCAAATAAATTCACGTATCATCCCCAATGATACGAGCTAAAGTATAATATTCAGAGTGAAACAGCCACATGAGTATTAGCTACTCTGTGTGTCAGGCCACCTCTAACCATCAAAGAGGTCACTGAGGGCAGGAAGAGCAGATCCTCAGTTGGCAGCACTCTGACGCACAAAGGGACCAGATGGAAAGGAGAGGAAATGGGCTGGCTGCAGACCTTTTCAGTTTGGCTAATGGAGCCACTAGCCAGCTGCTCTAGAAACCATGAGGCCTACAGCAGGGAGAGTAGCAGGAGCTGTGGGCCACTGCAGGACAGGAGGTGGGACACCCAGGTGCGACTGTCAAGGCGCTGAGGCGGGGCTGGACAGGTGCTGAAGGAAGAGGAGATGGGAGCAGTCTGGCAAGGGCAGAAGGGTCGTTTTCTTGAAACCTGCAGAGGGAGGCTGCGTAGATGTAGCCTAAGAAGGGTCAGAAAAGCAATGGCTTTCAATCAGTTTTATTTAAATTTTACAGAAACCTGATTAAGTATGTAAGTATAAGTTCAGTAACAATTTCTACAAAAATGCACATACAATGCCAGAATTCCTTAAAAGCAACTAATCCCATATTTTAATTTTGCATAAAACATGCATTAATTATCAACTGCCACATGTTGGCCAAAATCAGTCTCTGTAAGAAGAGACAGTCCTATATATAGTCAATAAGAAAACTAGTTATGAACAACAGGTAAAAAAAGAGGTTTTCTGGTTAATGTAAAAGAAGGAGCAGTACTTTCAGAAACAAGCCCTTCAGCACTGGGGCAGTTGGACAATTGTGCTGCACTGTGCTGTGATGCCCCAGAGACCTGGTCCTGAACTGTCCAGGAAGGAAGTGACTTTCGGATACTTAAGTCGGACACTAGGGAAGACACAAACTCAGGAGGGGATGCAGCACAAGAGCACAACTTTGCAGCAGTTCAGTACATCCTTGGACATCTGGAAGACATGTCTGCAGATACCTGAGCTTTTTAACTGAGCCCTCGCCACAAGCTGGCTTGGGGCACACAAGGGTCTCCCACAGCCAAAGGACCTGCTGGCCCCACCCACTGGTCCTCAGGAACACCTGCAATTAGGAGGCTGAATACCAACAAGCAGGACTTGTACCATTTCTCTGAGGCCTTGACTTTTTGGAGATCCCATTCATCCTGTCGAGAGATGAGTGGGCCCTCGTGCACATGGCTGCTACTGGGCACAGACACGTGTGGCCCCAAAGCCTAAAATGCTGTTGCTGAGACACCTCAGAGTGTCACCTATTGTCAGGAAAGTCTGGGTTCCATCAGAAGGATCTGAGGGCTCGACATTTACCAGGCGTTTTCTAGGCAGACTAAGAGGCCATAAACTTCCTATCAACTGAAGGGACTTTCCCTCAGAAATGGGGTTCTATACAATATTCCACGAGTCTCTTCAGATCTCAGTCACCAAGACATGGCTGTGGACATTACATTTATATACACACACTCGTCACGCATGCAGCCCAGAGACTTACTTGGAGTCTCCCACCAAGTCTGTGTCTTCCAAAGCAGTCACTGCGCCCCTGCTCACTACAAGTATAGCTAAGTCAGGAACTGTGTCTTCAGCACAGATTCAAGGGGAAAGATAATAACTTACCGGGGTTCTAACAACACCTTCAAAACAGAAAAGTATCAAAATAGGTTCATTTTAAATATATGCTTATGAATATCCCTGATAATATAAGGAAATCCAGAGGACTTTGTAAACCACCAAGATTTCACAGGGGTGATACCCGGTCATTTTGTAGGCAGCAAAAAGGGGCTAGTGTACTGGCAGACTTTTCCCAGGAAGCCCTGTGAGGCTACAGTACTAAACTCTACTATTTGAGTGCCAATAGAACTGTGAATGAACACTTCACTTTTAGTTAAGATTTGTAACAAAGATTTGCTTCCTCAGCTTTGTCAATCTGCCTGTCTGCTACAGACCTCCGGGTCATAAAGCAACCAATCAGTCTCAGATACTCCATGTTCCTAGACCCTTACAAGCCGTGACAAACCTCAGGCAGCAGAGAGGCAGAGGGCAGGCCAGGCTGAGGAAGCTGTGACCCAAGGCACCACGATCGCGGGTGGGGACAGAAAGAGGCTCAGGCGGACAGGAAGTGAACCTTCTGTGACCCTAACAGAGGCCCTGGAAGGCAACAGCTCTGTGGCGAAAGACAAACATTCCGAAGTTAAAGAACAAATCTTTTAAAAAGAAACCAACTTTCTTTCTCAAAACTAAATCAAACTTCTAAGCAGAAAACCCTGGTATCCTGGGGCTGGAGAGCTAATGTCTGGGGAATGAGCCGCATTTAGCTGAGTTAAAGAGGGCGCTGGCTATGAGATCGACGTAACTTCTGTGGCTACTGTAGTGAAGAGGAAGAAAGGAGGCTGGAGCAGGAGGAGGCCTCTTGCAGAGGACAGAAAGGGGACCAAGTGTGACACATGCCCCTTTTATTCCTGGAACAGTAAGTGGCATTTTACTGGTCTGAATGAGAGTGCTCCATACTTCACTCTAGCTACAGTAATATTGCATCCCATCCACTCTTCTTCTCTTTTTTGACTGAAATTCTTCAAAGAACTGCTGAATGTCCTCTCTCTTAACAACCTGTTAATGAAAAACAGGAAAGTAAAGAGCTATATTACAGAGCAAAAAAGGCTGTAACATTCACACACAAGTAACATCATTGGTAAACATTACAGACACTCCTTACGGAATTATGAGGGGGTTGCAGTGAGATAAACCAAATGTAGGTTAAAAATACCCTAAATTGAAAATGCACTCAGCACCAAGGACCTGTCACCTACGAGCCAACACCACAGCACACCACAGCTGCGCGGCCCAGCATAACTGGGAACTACGGCTGGCTGTTGAGGCCACTGCCCAACTTCAAGAGAGAGGATCTAACCACGGACTGCTAGCCTGGGAAGAGATCCAAATTCACAAGGCCAAGTGGCTTCTACTGAGTATGTGTCACTTTCACACTGTGGCAAAATCAGAAAACCCTAAGTCGAACTATGATAGGCTAAGGCCCTCTACTTGTAACGTGTAATTAATTCTGCACCTCAGTTTCTGCAGAGGAGATCATCCAGGCTCACCGAGCTGGCATGCTAAATCACACGGCTAAGCCACGGAGCAAGATGGTCCAAAGCTTAGTGCTCCTCACTGCCTCACCTTCCCCAAACGAAATGGGATAAGGCAGCATGTATCTAACAGGGCCGGTGAAGACAGGATGAGCTGTGAGGCCTGTGAAACGCTGGCTGGCACAGGGTCCCACAGTGACCCAAAGCAAGAGTGGTGGCGCCGACACCAGGCTGAGACCCAGGAGGGCTCCTGGACTGGTGTGCTCGTAACGCATCGCTCGCTGCCTTTGAGAATGTCTTTCAGCTCTACAAGTTGTCCACACGAAATGGTTCTGCTTGAACACTTACACTTTCTTCTTCAATGAGAGTGGAGAATGTGTTTGTGTTTGAAAGAAAAAATAAGACCCACCTACTTTAACTTCCTCAAGAGTCTAAAATTAAAGATCTTTGCTACATAAACAAAAATATCTGGCTTCAGACAGTTAGTTCTGGTCGCAGAAGAGACGCTGCCCCCTTGCCGCCACCCCAGGGATTTCTGGCTCTTTTCTCTTCGCCTTAAATTCGGGTGTCTTATGAATAATCAAAAGCAGCAAAAGCCAATGCTATCAGGCCAGCATTTTAAAACCAGAAAAAGAGATGAAAAAGACAGAGTGGACTCTACCCGAGACTGTATTATTCAAGGCCTAACTGAAACTGGTACTGATTTGGAAACCGCAGCTAAATTTCTGGATCATCTGCAGCAAAGCTTGACTACCACTGATAGGCAGAACACTCCTTGACATCCCGGCAGCTGGTGGAATGCTGGCCCCCGGCAGCACCCTGGCCGATGACATGACAAGCACGATGTCTGCGCGTTCACAGCACAGGAAGACCTGGAGACCAAGCAGGTGTTTGCGCAAGTTAACAAGTTAATCAGGTGCTACAAATATCTGGAGAAAGGTTGTGAAGATGAGGTTAAAAGCTGCTGCCGTTCTTAAAGGGTTTCTCAGAGTCAGAGAGGAACAAGCTGGCCATGCTGACTGGGATGCTCAACACATCCATCTTCAATAGCCTCTACGATGAGAATCTGGTGAAAGAAGGAAGTCAGCCGCGTTCACTGTGAAGCTCTTCAAGTCCTGGATCAATGAGAAGGACATCAGTGTGGTGGCCGCGAGCCTTCACAAAGTCAGCACGGATAACAGGCTGCGGAAACTTTTTCCTGCCAATAAGCAGAGTGTGGAACACTTCACGGAGGCGAGCCTGAAGGAGCTGTCCCAGTCCGTCCGGAACCGGTGGACCATCAGTACCTGGAAGGAGCTCCAGAAGGAGCTTCAGGAGCAGATGTCCTGTGGCGACTCTTTCAAGGACATAATTATATATGTCAAGGAGGAGATGAAAAAGAACAACATCGCAGAACCAGTTGTCACTGGGATCGTCTGTTTCAGTGTGATGAGCATGGTGCAGTGCAGCAAAAAAAGAGGAGCTCGTAGCACAACAGGCCATCAAACACTTGAAGCAATACAGCCCTCGGCTCACTGCCTTCACCACGCAGGGTCACTCGGAGCTGACTCTGTTGCTGAAGATTCAGGAGTATTGCTATGACAACATGCACTTCATGAAAGCCTTCCAGAAAATAGTGGTGGTGTTCTACAAAGATGAGGTCCTGATCGAGGAGCCCATTCTGAAGTGGTACAAGGATGCACACATGGTCAAAAGGAAGAGCATCTTCCTGGAGCAGATGAAGAAGTTCATGGAGTGGCTAAGAATGCGTCTGAGTCTGAAGTCGAAGACAGGGACTGAGTTTGAAACCTGCGTCCTCAGTAAAGCGAGTAGGGGGAGGTAAATGTTATGTCTCCTGTGTCCTGGCTCATGCATCTTCCTACGTCCCTGAATCGAGCATGACAGAAGGGCTCTCGCGGCAAACTTTAACTGTTTCTATGGTTACTGGAAATGTTGAGTTTAGTTCCTAAAAGCATGTGTTAAGTATCAGAGGAGCTACAGATTTGAATCTAATGTCACATTAGTCTTTTCAGTTCTCTTCTACCTCCTGTATCCTCTACTGCAATACTGTGATTTAAGGCCTTCCACGATGAACAGTTCACATTATTCCCTGGGTTTTCTATATATACCGTTTTCAAAATATGATCTGGTTAAGAATAATTTGTTACAAAAATTCTGTTTGCAAATTAAACTGTAAAAGTATCCAAAAAGAATATTTGGGAAAAAAACTATAGAGGCACTTACTTTAGTAAATCTACTCTGTAATAAAAATGATAAATTTATCTTCTATCTTATGGGAAAAAAATTTAAAGAATTTAAAATATTAAAATTAAAAAATGAAGGGAAAATATGAATTAAAAATGCAACAACCTAGGGACCTGTGGTCACCCCAAGAGGGAGTCTGTACCAGCTGATGGGATAGAAAGCTCTGTAAAAATCATAAAAGACAGAATTGTTAATTGACTTTTAATTATAACAGTAACAGATGCTTATTGGCAGAAAAGCAGGACGGTGGGATGGGAAAGTGAAAAGAAGAAGAGGATACGAATACATGTGAGCAGAAGAGAAAAGGAGGAAGAGGAAAGGGTGCTCAACCGGTCCTGCACACACAGTGAAAACTTTCCTCTCCCTCCTATTTCTTAAGGAAAACAGGCTGGGCTGGTGGCACACACGCCTGTAACCCCAGTGCCCAGGAGGCTGAGCAGGAGACTCGCCAACAGTTCAAGGATGATCTGGGCTACTACATGAGTTCAGGGCCAGCCTGAACTGCAGAGCAAGACTCTCTCAAAACAAAACAAAGACAGAAAGGAAACAGCTATTAGTTCTCAAAATGAAAGCCCTGTCAGCACTCTGCTACACAGCACTAGCAGACACACCAGGTTCACGAGTACCATGAAGAAAACTGCTGGCCAACTGCTAAGGAACTCAGATGCCAGGATTCAGGGTCTAGACAGCTAACAACACACCCTGAGGTGAATACGTTAAAGGTTAAGGAATCTACAGTTATAGCGTGCTAATAAATATGATGCTTAGGATTTCAAAATGAAGGGTCTGCACTGAGCTACAGGATTAAACACTGAAAGCCACAGGAGGAACATCTGTTAGGGCCCTGAGGCAGGAGGCCTAAAAGACCAAGTAAAGTATGCGCTCTATGGGTCCTGGAAGTCCTCAAACGCTCACAGCCGAGGTGTGGAGAAGAAATGCTAATGAATAAATACTTGGGTTCAACAATAAACCATTTCACTGCTTTGTCTCAGTTTATAGTTTTGTAAGTTTTTTTTGCACCAGGAATCCCACTCCAGACCTCATGCTTGCCAGGGCAGGCGCTGTGCTGCTGAGTTATATTTTTATCCATAAATGTTACTTTTCATAGTCATACAAATGTTAAATATAGTTAGTCCATTATCTGAGAACATCTGGAACTTAACATTATCCTAGCAATCAAAGCTAAGGGTCTGTATTCTGGCTACAGTAGCGCAAGACTTAACTGTTTATAAGGGCCATCTTAGGCTATGAGGAGCAAGGTTAATTTTTGTTCTGTATCTGCCTGTGGAAGACAGAATAGTATTTTAGAAAAAAATCTATCACAAACATATCTAAGGGGTACCTGTAAATTTATCTGGAACCTATTTTAAACATGAGACATTCTAGACTCTAAGAAAATTATTTTCTTAGAAAGAAGAGAAATTTTTTAGTTCCTAGTAGAACTTAGAATCCCAGAAAGTAGGTCAGGTTTGAATTTTCCCTGGCCAGTCACGATATTCCCAGCCCCGCCCCGGGAATCACAGCTAGGATGCGGTCGGGGTCAGGGGTAGGGGTCAGTCAGCATCCTCAGAGCCTGAATCCACAGCCAGGGCCCTTGCTTGGCCTTCTCTTGGGCTGCAGCTGCTCCCCTGAGACCTGTGCCAGCCCCACCCCACTTTCTTCTGCCCCCAGGGGTTGGTGAGGACGCCTTACAGGTCCTGGAGGGTTCACTGCCCCATACCGACTGCCCTTAGCGCCAAGAGCACTTAGTTTCCGCCTTGAACGCCCAAGCACTCCATTTCTTCACCCTAGCCTTTTATCTTCCCCTGTCGTGCTGGGGATGGAAGCCAATGCCTCACTCCTGCTAGGTAAGTGCTTATACTCCCAACTCCTCCCTGGCTCTTCTTTAGTCATCAAAGAAAATAAACAGTTTACGAAAAATGTAAAAGGCTGATTAAAATTCTTTAACAACATACCGTGCCTTCATCAGCAAATCTCTTCAGATAGTCTTTAAGTTCAGTCTTCAGGTCATTGTACTCTAAATCAAAACCATAACAACACTTGAAATTCAGGTGTCATTTGCTTTTAAAAACAAAATATTTATTTGCCATCAGCAATTGAAATGCTAGATAGTTTAAATCAAATTTTTGTATAGAATCATGGTCCCAATGTCTTACAAATTCTCTGGGCTTCATTTTGATAACTGAGATATTTTTCTCTTCAAACAAACAAACAATCCAAAATCAGAAATACCTTCACACTTACAAAGATCAGCTAAGAATTTTTAAAAGTTTCCTATTTCTCTGGAATTCTAGTTTTTTTTTGTTTTTTATTTTGTCTTTTTGAGACAGGGTCTCACTATGGGGGTTCAGGCTGGCCCTGGGCTCACTTTGTAGCCTAGGCTGGTCTTGAACTTGCAACAATCTATCTGCCTCCGTCTTGCAAGTACTGGGATTACAGGAGTGTACCACCACACCCGGCTAGAATTCCAGTTCTTTGAAATAAACTTGGATTTATCAAACATTAAAGCTTAAAATTTATTTACTCAACAGTTTGCACTATGTTGAAGCACTTTGAGAGCTACAACAATGCACACACCATCATCAAAACATTCAGTCCAATAAGGACAAAAGGAATAAATAAAAAAATTACAAGTAAAAGACAAAAATATTAATGCCATAAAAGGGACCCAAAGCTGGTGAGAGCCAAGTGAAAAATGGCTAGGATAGAAACTTTGAGAGAAGTTGGCCATGGTGGTTGGGGGAAATATAAAAGTCTACAATTATGGGGTAGGGATATTTTTCATTCCAGTGGTTTCCTGTGAACCACTAAAGCAAATTCTAGGACTGTCAAAAAAGATGACATGCTTTGCTCAAAAAGATGACATATAATCCTCAGTGAAAATTATCTCTATGGATGGAAAAATCTGCTATAATTCTGTATTTATACATCTACTCTTAATCAAAATAGTACAAACTGTGGTTTCTCAAACGTGTAATTATTTTAGCATGAAACTCAAAGTCCATGGTACTAGCAGCTGAATACTCAGCAATATTAAAATCAAGCCTAGTATACAATTCAAAATTTGAATTTTCTTTGCCTAAACTTAAAGAGATTTAAGTGCTTATTACTTCCATTTACATTATCTTACATAGTGAAATATATTTTATGAATTTTCACACACAAACAGTACTAACCACAAATGAGCTCCACTTGCTGGACTCTGTTCATGCTGTTCAGGGTGTCCATCAGCGGGTCCCGCTTCTCAGCTGCCTGGTCAATCTTGCCCTTGTTCTCATAAGCCAGAACTGTGTCATATTCATCTATCAGGAACAGGACATCTAGATCGCCATACATTTTCTTTAAAAAATAAAACCAGTTTCCCCATTAGAAGAACTGTGTATCAGTTTCGGAAAGTCAGTTTCATGGGAACTCCTAAAAGTTTGTTTATTTTTAAATTAACACATAGGGCAAGGGATTCAGCTCAGCAGCATAAGCACCTGCCTGGCAAGCGCGAGGTCCTGAGTTCAATCCCTGGTACCATCAAAAAAAAAAAAAAAAAAATTAACACATAAAAAAAACTTTGAACTTCTTAGAATAGAGTTGCTTGAAGGATTTCTACTTTTTCCCCCAGACCTTTTTCAGAAATCTCCCAACTTCTCAGTGGATGTTGTATGGTTGATGAGTTCTTTATTTAAAAACCACTGACTCAGCCACACATGGTGCCCCATGCCTGTAATCAAAGTTACTTGGGAGGCTAAGGCAGAAGGATCATGACTTTGGGGCCAGCCTAGGGAATACTGTGAGATTCAGTCTACAAAAAAAGAGGAAGGGAGGGAGGGAGGGAAGGAAGGAACGAACAAACAAATGAAAGAAGGAAGGAAAGAAAATCACCTCACACTAACTGACTACAACTTTCAAGCAATTTGTTTCTAAGCAACTTTATGATATGAAAAAGAGCTATTTTTCCACTAAAGAGAACAAAATGTCTTAGTAATTCTACATACTTCATATTTTCTATAAGAATTCAGGTACAAATAAGGCTTCATAAATCTACTTAATAGAAAAATTTTGAAAAAGCCAGGCGCGGTAGTACACACCTGTAATCCCAGCACTCAGGAGGCTGAGGTAGGAGGGTCACCAAAGAAACTCTGTCTCAAAAGACTAAAAGAAAAAAAGTTCCCTACACTCCTATATCAATTCCATAAATACATTTTTTAGTGTACAAAACATACAAACATCCAGCTTAGATACTCACCATGCAGTCTTGGCAGGTGCATAACTTGCTGCGCCAGTTCAAGGGCCAATAGGTGGCAGTATCTTTCTTCACAAAATGCTTAGCTTTGAGCTCCTGAAGTCTGCAGCCAGATTGTGAGTCTGTGTTGAAGTTTTGGTTCTTAAATGCCGTCTAAAATAAAAGTTAAGTTTTGATGTGTTTTTTAATCTGTCATATTTTTCATAGTTGAGACTCTGTAAGGGATTTTTCTTTCCCTATTGGTACTGAACATAGGAGTCTACACTGAGCGACATCCCCAGTCTTTTTTTTTTTTGAGACAGGATCTCCCTGAATCACTAAATTGCCCAGGGCAGGCTTGAACACACCATTCTACGGTCTCCGCCTCCCAGACTGCTGAGATTACAGATGTACACCACCATGAACAGCTAAAATGATTTCCTCTGACAAAGAATACAACCGAAATGCAAAGCTGTAGGACTTACAGAATTAATAAAACTATCTAAGTTTTATGTCTTCCTGTTTGTATTTCCTGTTACCTGGAGCCTGGATTCAGAACTAGAGCTGGCACATGGCTCACTGTTCTGCTCTGCTTTCACTTCCTTGTCAGGACTCTTCCCATGTTCCGGAACATCCTCTTTCAGGGTATTGTCTTGCTCTCCATTTTCAGACTGGATAACTTCCTGATCATCTATTCCGTCAACATTCAGCACTAATCCATCATCTTCAGCAGATATTTTTATCACTATGGATTCAATGAAAAGAAATAATAACAATAGTAATGAAGACACATATATCCATAGATCAAACAATGAAATAATTTATTCTGATTTTAAAATATTTCAGAATCTAGAAAAAAAAAAAAACAAAACTTGATCCTCTAGAATGAGAAAAGAAATATCAACAATGCCTAATCCAAATAATTAAACAGTTAAAAATATCAATCACTGGGCTGAGTATGTAGCTCAGTGGCACAGTGCTGCCTGGAAAGTGGAAAGTCCTGAGTCCAGTTCCTGATACTAAAAAAACAAATAAATAACAATAAAATAAAATAATCAACCCCCTAAATACTTTATATGTAAAGGAGAAAAGAATATTGTGTAACTGTCAAAAAGAGACAGGATACTCAAGAAACAACAGGCAGGAGGAAGAGATTCAACTGCAAACATAAGTAGAAGGGTAGTTTTGAAAAATTATCAGCTTTTTCTCGTAGGGAAAAAAAACAAGAAAAATGGATGTTGAGGCAGAAATACCATGAGGGAGAAAAAAGAGAAATGGTAAGGGAGTTCCGGGTGGGTGATGATGGCTTTTTAATAGCAGATGAAGCAAGATAGGCAAGGAAATGAAGATTGGGAATCAGTTAAGAACGCTAATTAATAAATACACACAGGAATAGTGTCTATAACTGGAAGAGATGTAACTGGGAGGGTATATAAAGGAAGTAGCAAGTTTAAGAAAACCGAGGCAGATCAAAAGCACAGGGACCAAGTTTGGTGTGGCAGTGCACATCTGCAGTCCCAGCTCTCTAGGGAGCTGAGGCAGGAAGATCTCGAGTGTGGGTCCCGCCTGGCTAACTTAGCAACTTAGACCTGTCTCCAAATAAAAATTTCTAAACGTCTGGGGATACAGTTCAGTATGAGGCATTGGTACAAGCCTCAGTACCCTGAAAAGAGGGGAAAATAAAAGTATAGGATGAGATCTTAAGTATAGCAATGTTATTTGTGGTTTGTATGACAAAATATGCCTGACGGTGAGAAGAACAAGAAAATAAGAGGCTGGAGCAGCAAAGATTATGAGTACTTGCTACCTTAAAAATTACTTAGGAACTGGGGATGTGGATCAGTGATAAATCACTTGCCTATCCTACTCTGGACTTGACCCCTACTGCTGAAAAAATAAATACATGAAATAAAGGCAATGCATCTGGCATTACCAGTAAGATATTTAATACCTCAAGACCATTCATTGTTGCTTAGTTGTTTTGAATCAATTTCTCAGTGTATGATAAAAGTACACTACTAGATAATGAATTGTTATTATCACCTGCCATCTGCTTTGGTCTGAATGATTTTTTGTACTGGGGATTGAACTCAGGGCCTTCACAATGAGCTATGACTCTAGACTTTTTCTTTTCTTTCCTTCCTTCCTTTTTATACTTTGGTACTGGGGATCAAACTCATGACCTTGAACTTGCCAGGCAGGCGCTTACACCACTGAGCTAAATCCCTGGCCCTTTCCTTCCTTTCTTTGTTCATGTATTTTTATTTTGGGACAGGGTCTTGCTAAGTGACTAATTAGCCCAGACTGGACTTCAGCTTGCATTCCTTCTGGCCTCACCCTGCCAGTGCTGGGATCACAGGTGTGTCACCATATTCTGCAATGTTTATGCTCCCCAATGCCTATGTTAAACCTATTGGATTGCTAATCCAATATTAAGGAGTGGAGCCTTTACAAGGTGACTGGGTCATGAGGGCCTCATGTACAGAATTAACATTTTTCAGTCTAAGGGAGCGTAAGGGACTTTTCCACCAAGTAAGGACACACAGGACTCCATTTATAAGGAATGGGTCCTTACCAAATACCGGATCTTTTGACCCTATCCTTGACCTATCAGCATCTGGAACCGAGAGCAATAAATATCTATTGTTGATAAATTACTCAGTAAAAGTATTTTGTTATAACACCCCAAATAGACTAAAATGCCACCACCTCCTCAACCAACAATGTATCTTACACATAGCAACAATTTAGTTCTATTTATCTTTCAAACTCCCATTCAGTAATTGTCTTCTTGTAATCTCAGCAACCTCAGAGGCTGCCGCAGGAGGACTTAAAGTTTAAGGCTAACCTGGTCAACTGTCTCAAAGTAAAAAAATAAAAGGAGGCCCTTGCTCCTATCCCCAGTGTGAAAACAAAACAAAACAATATCCATCTCTTCCATTTTCTCTAATTCTAGTCTCACCCATACTTTGCAGCACACCAGTTAGGTGCAAATTCTTCCCAAGTAGTCTTCTGAACAATCTATAAATACTGTTTTGTATACTTCAGAGTCCAAAATAGTTGCTAAAAATTCTGGACTAAAAGTTCAGATTTCACAAGTACAAGTTGTGTCACACCACCTTCACAAAGACACCTACCTGCCGATTGTGCAGCATAAGCCCACAAGAAAGAACAACGTTTCATACAAGCCTGGCACACCATTTCTTGGAAGTCCCCGCTCTCAGGGGGAACGGCACCAAGATGCTGTAAATTTCAAACAAAAAACAAAGTTTTTTCCTTGTGATCTGTAAGCTGTCTAAAATGTCACTGTTAATTTGTATCCAGGCCTTGATAAATGAAGGGACTTGAAGGTACAGCCTCATTACTTTCAAGGTGCCTACTCCTGAGAAGACACACAGACCGGATGTGATTCTTCACTAGAAGTGAGAACCTACTAGTAGTCTGATTCACATCAGACTATGTGTGCATGAGCTGGCTAGATCAACTTTGAGCTTTAACAAAAGTACACTCCGGTGTTACCACCAACCACCAAGATACCCATCACTTTCACCTTTCCAAACAGCTCCCTCCTGCCCTTTTGTGGTCAGTCTCCTCAATTGCTAATCTGCTATCGTGAGTTTTGTTTTTTCTAGAATTCCAAATAAATTATATATTATGTGGCTTTCCTGAAATCAATTGCAAGTGCGATTATACAGAAATAAAATGCCCATAATACCCATTTGTTTTATAAACAAATACAGTAGTATACTAAACATAACTGTACAGATTTTTTGAGGTATTACATTCATCATGTGGAGTTGGTACATGAGTGTAACGTATCGTAATTCCTTATTTCCTTCCCCTTTTTCTTTTTAAAGAAGACTAATTATAATGTGAAATTAAACAATTCAAAAGGAAAAGATAATTTGTCTTTCTGTGGATACATGGGCATTTTTTTGGTGCCGGGGATTGAACTCACGACCTCACGCTTGCCAGGCAGTCACTTGTGCCGCTGAGCTAACTCCCCGGCCCAACAATGGTTTTAAAAGTTAGAAGTTCTCCTTACTCTTCCATGGAACCAGTCTTCACAGACTATACACTGGATCATCTCATCTGGAACCTAACACAGAAAAACAGTTGTTTGTTAATAATGACTCTGAATGTGGGACCTGGAAATAAATCTGGCACAAAGTAGAATCAGATATTAAATAATTCTTGAGGCTGAGGGTGTAGCTTAGTAGAAGGCTACATCTGTGAGGTCCAGCGTTGGGTCCCCAGAACTGTAACATGAAAAAAAATTCTCTGCCAACTCTGTGATAACTATACTTACATAATAGTAGTTAAGGGGACAAATAAATTCATTCTTCATGCATTGGTATTAAGGACTTACACTGGGATAAGCACTTAGTACATAGTTATCAAAGCTCATTTGTACTAGTCTCTTAATATCACTCACGAAACTTTATAGATTAGTAGGGCTTTCCCATCTTGTACATAATCCTAAATCCAAGGAAGGAATGTGAATTGACCAATATAGAAAGTGACAGGTGGGACTTTTTAAAGTCCTGTCATGTAAAATTGAAAAGTAAATCTTACTAACAATCTCCTGATAATGTAGACTTCTCTGTTTAAACAAGTTAAATAATAAAATGTCTAAACAGGAAAATTGTGTATCAAGAACATAAATTTATTTTGGGGATAATTTTCCTTTTATTTTCAGGCTTTCACATCTACTAATTAACTTCCTAATGTGTTGTTCTGTCCTTGTATTATGACAGTTTGTTTAAGAAAACAAAGCAGACACACATACACACATAAACAATAAAAAGCAGTTTTATTCCTTTCTTTCCACCCATCAATTTATTCATCATCTTTTTTTTTGGTCATCTTTTTTTTGGACTTTATTCAACAGTGTTATAACTCTTTACCCCATACCTTAACACGTGCAGTTTTAAACTTTATTTTTTGTTAACTCAAAGTTATTCTTTTTTTTTTTTTTTTTTTGTCTTTTTCCTTTTTATTGGTACCGGGGATCGAACTCACAACTGCCTGCTTGCAAGGCAGGCGCTTATGCCGCTGAGCTAAATCCCCAGCCCCCTCTCAAGGTTATTCTTAACTTTGTTCTCTATATAATTTGGTACAGTAATTACAATTCCAACACAATCAAAGAAAGGGGGCAGAGAACTCATTTTGCTAACTACAAAGAGCACTATTTCCAATTAATACATATGCAAAATAAAACCCAACCCACTCAAAACATGGGCTGGGGATATGAAAAGACAACTCAGAAATTATTAAAAATGTCTAATAAGTTTAAAAAAAAAAACATGAATAACTTTGCTGTCAGTAAGAAAGTATTTAAGAAGATACTAGCCTTTATTCGTATGGCAAGATATGACCTGAATGGCAGTACTTTCCAAGACTGAGAATATGTCGGGTTGATAGGTATTGAGATGAAAAACACTATCATATACTCTTGGTGGTTAACTCTTTTGGCAGATATGAATGCAATTTTAAACACAAATACCCTCTGACCAATCAATTATCTCTAGATACCCATTCTATGTACTCACAGGAGTATGCTAAGTTATGTAAAGGTAAAAGGATGGTCACTACAGTCTTCTTTATAATAGTAAAAAATTAGACACTACTCTACCGCATAGTCACAGTTAGGATAACTTAGTTATGGCTTAAGTCTCACGTCAAATTATAGGATACGCTGCAGCATTAGAACAAGGTAGATCTGTATTGCTCAATGTGAAAGGATGTCTATGATATACTGGTAAACACGGGAAAAGACAGCTACAGAAGTAAATGTATAGAATTTTCACTTTTATTGACAGAAACTGGCCAGGTGTGGTGGCAAATGCCTGTAACTCCAGAACTTGAGAGGCTGAGGCAGAAGGACCCCTGCAAGTTCAAGACCAGTCAACTACAAAGTAAGTTTAAGGCCAGCCTGAACTGCACAGCAAGACTCTGTCTCAAAAAAGACAAAAAAAAAAGGAAAAGAAAAAGAAAAGAAACCACACACTGAAACACATTCAAATATTTTTAGATGTACACAGAAAGGTCTGAAAACCTAAAACAAAAAAGTTAACAGTGAATGTGCCTGGGAAGTTAAGCAGCACCAGAATAAGGACAACTTCTTGAAATTTTGAGTACAATTTAAATTTTTTGAAGACCTAATTTGTACTTAAGTCCGTAAGTCTCCAGAGAGGACAGAAGTTTAAGGTTAATTCTTCATAAAGTGTTGGGGGGGGGGAGGCAGGAAAGACAGAAAAAAGTTCTAGCCTTGGGAGAGTCTCTGCGATATTTCAATCTAATGATGTAAGAATGAGAATAATTGAGATCTGCACCACTGATAGATCCTACCAGATTCAAGAAGGGGTAAATCTGGAAACCTAAAGCACCCTAAAATGCTTTCTACAAGGTTCCAGACATTCAGATAATGACAGGCTCTAAAGTCAAGGCTAGAGATAGCACTGTCCCAGGTTTCATCTTCCAATTCTCTTACCTCATCTTCAGGATCAGGATAAGGTCTCTTACAAATGCAGTACAATCCAAAAAAGTTGTCATTATACTTATTACCAGAGTTTACCGTTGCTTTGTCCTGAAAGATAAATTTCAATATATAATGTAGTCTAATTTTAAATATAATTTCATGCATTGTAAAATGTATAATTCAACTAATTTTTGCATTAAATATCCTTTCCTTGGTCAGGCGTGGTGGTGCACAACTGTAATCCCAGCACTTGGGAGGTTGAGGCAAAAGGATCACTATGAGTTTGAGGCCAACCTGGACTACACAGCCAGACCCTATCTCAAAAAACCAAAGGCGGTGGGTGATTAGCTTCACCCTAGAAGCTAATCTTTCTTAGACACTAATCTTTAACTTTCAAAATGTGAAAAAAAAAAAATTCACTATTAGAGATAATTTTTTCCAATGTACAGGGCAAAAATAAAATTTTCTTTATCTTCTTTGTATCAATTGGAGAAAACTAAATATACTACTTCAATAAAAAAGGAGATAGACATTAAGCATAAATACTAGTTACCAACTTGGAATTTCAGGGACAGTACTTCTTTGTGCATAACTGCCGTAGCCAAAACTCTCATGTAATAAATGGGCAAAAAGGATGCAAAGAAACTATCTAAAATTGAGCTGGGCATGGTGGCCCACCCCTGTAATCCCAGGACTTGAGAGGCTGAGGTAGGAGGATTGCTGAAACTTTGAGACTAGCCTGGGCTACAAAGTGAGTTTAATACCATCTTGAACTGCACAGTGAGACTCTATCTCAAAAAGACAAAAAGGAGGGGCTGGGGATTTAGCTCAGCGGCATAAGTACCTGCCTTGCAAGCAGGCAGTCGTGAGTTCGATCCCTGGTACCGATAAAAATGAAAAAGACAAAAAGGAAAAGAAAAGAAAAATTATCTAAAATTAACCTTCAAAGGTGGGGAAAGATGTGATAGTTCTAGCAATTGACTGAAAATGTGACATTGCTTACTTTCTCTCTTATCCACTATTTCACTAAAAGTTACCGTATAATCATAGCTTTTATTAGTCAAAATACAGTCTATATCTAGTCCATATTATTGCCAAGTTTTACTTATGCAGTTTTAAAACTAATAACCTGGGGGCTGGGATTTAGCTCAGCAGCATAAGCACATGTCTGGCAAGCGCTAGGTAGTGAGTTTGATCCCCAGTACCAAACACAAAAAACTAATAACCTTTGCTTTAGGAGCCTCAGAACATAATCATAACCTGAATCACTTTAAGGGTTTCCCCATAAAACTTTTCATATTAATTGCAATCTATGTCAAAGGCTCTGAACAGATTATCTAGTTTTTCCAACAAAGAAAGAAACGAAATGCCCTTTTCAAATAATAAACAAAAGCATTTTCTTTTTGGAAAACAGTTGGTTTTACCTATTCTGGTAAATATCAACTTCTGTTCCTTTAAATGCATTTGTAGTTATGTTTACTTACAGGAAATAATTTGCATTCCAAATTTTTAAACTTGCTGTTTCCACAATCACAACGAAAATTTCTGAAACAAAAAAGGGAATACCAGTTTTATCATTTTTAAAAAATCTAATGAAGTACTCTTTAAACTCAAATTTTCTCTTCTTTCCTTTTGACTCATTTCTAAAATCTAAAAAATAGTTCTGGTTGCTGTTCATGTATCTGATTTGGAATTTTCTCAAGTATGTAACTATACAATATGTTATAACTCTAGAAATTAAAATACAAAATGGTGCTGTCCTGTAGGCCCAGCAACACTAGGGAGGCTGAAGCAAAAACTTGAGCTCTAGAGTTCAGGGCCAACCCTGGCAAGACAGCAAGATTATCTTAAAAAAGAGACAAATGTCTATGTCACTCTCGCATACACAAATAAAATAAGGGATGAGTAGTGTGAGTGTGTACCATAATTATGTTATAAAAGATCTTATGGAAAAACCATTCTTTTCTCAGTTATATTTTAAATCTCATTAGTGTACAATTACTTTGAATAAAAAACAAGATTAAGAAAAAAACTGTAGTTGGGAAAGAAGCTAAACAGTTAAGACAACATACAGCAACTATCTCCATACCTTTTTGTGTACAGCTCAAATAATTTATGGCTTCCATGACATTCATAACTGCAGGCCAGACAAATTCCTGCTGGTTCTTCTCCCTCTGGAGTGCAGGTACTACAGGCATACAGTGCTTGTCTCTTTACTGAGCCCTAAAAGCCCCACACAGAACAGAGTAAGTTAATGAAATGGTACAGTTACCTAACACTGACACTAAGATCTGAGAAATAAAACCAGATTATCTGTGATCAAGATCTTCCTGTAGAAATGGTATTCAAAATGTTTAGAGGAGAGTGCCAAAACCTTGCTACACATTTCATTTCTGTAATGTTTATTTTTAAATTTTTTCTTAAAGTGATGGAAGGTTTAAATTTGTAAATCACCTATGAATCAGCTGATCTGCTTAATCATTTTAACGTATGAAAATGCAGGTCAATGCATATAGGTTTATGTTAGTAAATATCACATTTTAATTTTGGAACATTCTTAGAACATGAATCCCTTTGATTTTTTTTTTTTTTGTCTTTTTCGTTTTTATTGGTACCAGGGATCGAACTCACAACTGCCTGCTTGCAAGGCAGGCACTTATGCCGCTGAGCTAAATCCCCAGCCCCTGAATCCCTTTGATTTTTAGGAGGTAAATGCTAAAGTATTTACCAGTCATGACATCTGCAACTCTTAAGCAGTTCAAAAATAAGCAAAATGTGTTAAAGGAAAGATAAATGTGATAAAATATTAAAAAGTCAATACATATTCAGAAGTATACAGATAATCATAACACTATTTTTTAACTGTAAAATGTTTCAAAATAAAAAGTTGATGGTGCATAGACATAATTCCAGCCCTGGGAAGGTTAGGACAGGATCACTGTGAGTTTGAGGCCAGTGTAGGCTATATAGTGAGTTCAAGGCCAGTGTGAACCACATAGCAACCCTGTCAAAAGTATAAACAAACAAGGTGAAGGAAAACCACGCATGATTTTTACAAATCTTGATAAGGCTTCCCCTCCTCTAGAAAGGCAGGCTTTGCTGATATTCGATTTCTTAATCAGGGTGGTGGGTACACATGTGTTTACTTTGCTGTCAACCTAAACATATGACTTACCTAAATCTCTGAATGTTTTACTATAGTAAGAAAGATTTTTTTTTTTTTTTTTTTTGGTGGTACCAGGGATCGAACTCACGATCATGCTCTTGCCAGGCAGGTGCTTATGCCGCTGAGCTAAATTCCCAGCCCCAGTAAGAAAGATTTAAGGAAGTCCATTTGATAAACATTTTCAAAAACTAGACGTCTTTTTTTTTTTTTTTTTTTAATTTAACCAGAGAAAAAGTTGTCTTAGTAGTACCTGAAGGTTCTGAATACTAGCCAACATCTGGGACTGTCTCTGACCACCATATTTTTCAACAATTTAACCACTTCGCAGTGTAAACTCAACTTGGTCAGTGATGACAACAGGTTAAATTCTGACATCAGGGGTTGGGGGGATGCAGCTCAGCAGAGCACTTGCATGGAAGCAGCTTTGGATTCAAGCCCCAGTACCACCAAACAAAAACAAAATTACGATTGAATTCAAGTTCCTCCCCTCACTCCTCAGTGTTCTACTTGAGCCCTGCCTGAGACCATCTTCCTTCTACCAACTTTTAACCTGTTCAGTTTTCTTGTACCCATGCTTCTTCATTTTTGAACCCTGAGATGAGTCACAAAATACCACATCACATCCCCTAAACCCTTATTCACGAAGTAATCCGAATGCCGAACAAATCCTTTTTTTTCTGGCTAGGATCACTTGCTGTTCTGGTCTCCGTCTTATTTCTGGGGGAAGAAGAGGCAGACTGCAAACAGGGCACTTGCTTGGTTTCTCAAGGGAAAAAAGAAAAAAGTACTAGTGAGCACTGAACCTGTATTGTAGAGCCGTCGAGAAGCCCACGGCACACAGATTTTCAAATCCAAAGCTTTCTATCTTTACTTTGACCTCCCGTTCGGTCCCAAAAAGCCATCTTAAGATGGGAAAGCAGTGACAAAGACGTCTGGATTCCGATTCGAAAGGTCATAGGTAGGGTGTTGTGAAAAGCATGTGGGCCACCAGAAGACTAGAGAGTAAAGAAGATCAGCAGCTCCAGGGCCAAAGCCTGGAGAATCCCAGCCGTCGAAGACAGTGGAAGGGAGGCCCCTGCTGGACACAGGGGAAGAAACGGGCCGGGACGGCTCAGGAAGAAAAGGCAGCTGGGCCCGGCGTGGGAGGGCAAGCCAACGGCGGACCAAGACCACCGAGGGGGAGGCCAAGGCGGGCGGGAAGAAGAGGGTGCGGCAAGGAAGGCTCGGGAGGTTTTGGGGGAGCTCGGGCAGACGAGGCCCGGGCCGCGCGCCCACCTGTGAGTAGGAGCACTTCTCGGAGTCGCTGCCGCCCAGAACTGCACACGCCTCGTTCTCCAATTCTTCGTCCTCCTCAAGTACGTCGACCAACGACACCACAGGCTCTAGCTCCGACTGCCGCCCAGCGTGCCCCTCGGCCTCAGCCATCCTCAACTGTCACCAAGACCGCAGCTCTGTCCCGGCGGAGGCGGGAAAAGCTACCGTGAGGAGGCGTGGCTGGGGAGGCGGGGCCTGAGTACCAGGAGCCAATTGTAAAGAGGGGAAAACGAAGGAAGGGGGAGGAATTACTTCAGGCTACCGGAAGTCATTCTTCTCTTCTGCCTGCGCCACCGGCGAGCTGGTTTCCGCTTCCGGGTGAGGCTTCCCTGTGGCGCGCGCTTGAAGCTAAACGGTCGCTATGTCTCTGGTCGGAGAGTACGTCGGGCCAGACGGGGAGCGGCGGGAGCTGCGGGTTCTCTGTGAAGCATGCGGTGACGCCGACCCTCTCCAGAAGCTGTTGTGGGGTGTGACCCAGATGAAGGAGCTGGTAAACCAGTTTTTCGACCCTTTGGTACAGCGGGAAGCGAAGGGTCGAGTGACTACGGATCCAGAGGAGACGCTGGAGGGTGAGCTCTGAGGAGGTGCTGGAGCGACCGGGGAGCGGGGCGGATGTGGGGCACTGTGCGGAAAGTGGGCCCCGGGGGAAGAACCGCCCCCGAGACTCCTCGTAATGCAATGTGGTGGTAGTTGTTTTTACCCAGTGCTTTCATCATACATGTTTTTTGTTGTACCTAGTATTGGGCTGAGGTCTGGAGGAAAATGCATTGAAGGCGATTCTTCTTGCCTTTGCTGAACGCACGGGCTGAGACGGGCGGGCACGTTAGAGAGTGAAAAAGTGCTGGCAAGCGCGAGATCCTGAGTTAGAGTGCCTGTACCAGGGGGAAAAAAAAAGTTAAAAATTGGTTGTGTAACCCTTTGTCACTATTGCAAGATAAGAAAACTCAGACAGGCTTCTCTAGAGAGGGTATGACTTTTGAGCTGGATGTTGAAAGAGGAAAAGGACTTTTACCAGATGTGAAATTATAAACACTAGATTTGCAAACAGCTACCGAAGATGAGGACAGTTCATTTGAACATGTCCTAACCCCCAGAGACCCCAGGTCCATATCACAGTTTCGAAGCAGAACCGTGAAATTTCAACTCCATTAATATTTTAAAATCTTGTCTTGAAAGGTGTATTTTTGACCGCCTTAAGTTAAAACCTAAGCGCTAGATGCGGCAGTCAGTACTTGCTGTTCTGTAGATGAACTTAAACTGTATTTTACTTTTCATATTGTTTACATCTTTTTTTGTCGTTTCCATCTTGATAATATGGATGTTGGATGTAATAAAAATAGCAATAACAAGTGCTGGTTAGTATCTGAAGAAATTGCAGACCTTGTACATTGTTGGTTGAAGTGTAAAAGAGTATATCCACTTAAAACACCTTGGCAGTTCCTCAGAAACTTAACATAACTGCTAGGCTCAAGAGAACTGGATGCATTGGTACACAAAAACTTACACATGTTCATAACAGCATTAGTCTTAAGAGCTAAAAAGCAGGACAACACAGGTATCTATCAACTTAATTGTAAACTATAATAGAAATAAACCTTGAAAACTAACTCAGACAAAAGTGTAAAAAAAAAACTAACTCAGACAAAAAAGATGTATTATAGATTATTACAGATATTATCTATATGTATTATAGATTGAATTTATGTAAAATGTCCAGAACAGGCAAATCCATAGAAATAGTAATTGCAAGGGCTGAGGGAAATAGAAAAGGGACTGCTAATGAGTAGAAAGATAATTTGGGGAATGGAATAATTAATGGAAACATGCAGAATTAGTTGTGATGGTTTTACACAAGGATACAAATAGAGATACAGAAAACTCTTGAGCTATATGCTTTTAAAAGACTGCATTTTATGGTCAGAGAATTATATCTCAAAAAAAAACAGTGGAAAAGAAAGGTTTTAAATACTGAAATTTCTGAAATATTTTTAAGTGTGCATGATTTTATTAATCCTTGAAGTGGTCTTATTCCAGCCATTTTATCTATCTTACCTATGTTTCTCAACCACTGAACATAATATTATACAACACATCTTTATTTTAAAAGGTAATGATGAAGATGATGCAGAAGATGAAAATAACCTTGATAAAAGAACTAATTCAGATGGACCATCTGCAAAGCGGCCAAAAACACCATCTGAGCAGTAGTTTTTGTGAAATTTAAGACTATTGCTTTGTCCTAAGTATCACACACATATTAAAGAAGACTGGAGATCTAATTTGGAAAAGCATTTATTTTGTTTATCTGGGACAGGTTTGTCAGAAAGTTTTCTGTTGCTAGCAGAGAGATACAGTGAATTATTTAGGAATAAAGTCTGTTTTGTTGAGTAAAAAATTACAGGACTTAGAAATGTATAAAATACATATAATATATAAAATCCTCTAAGACAAACTGAATTTTATTGCCCTCTAACCATTGAATTAAATTGTGTGAAGTCTACATCTTGAGGCTGCTGCTATAAAAAGTACATACCATGAATTATTGGCAGTAAATCTCAAAAGAACTGATATGAACAAGTGGCAGAAATTGGGTATTAAATGTCAGAATGTCAGTTTCTTTTTTTTTTTTGGTCTTTTTGAGATGGTCTCACTATGCAGGTCAGGCTGGTCTTGGACTCACTTTGTAGCCCAGGCTAGTCTTGAACTTGCAATGATCCTCCTGCCTCAGTCTCCTGAGTGCTGGGATTATAGAATGTCAGTTCCTTAAAAAAAAAGGAAAATAAGAAACTAGAAACACTAACGGAAAAGCAGAGACTTTGAGAGAGATTCAAGGAAACCCTGAGTTTGTACCTACACTCATTTTGTAGCTATCCAGAGATGATTCCACTCTGAACATGCATTAATTTTCTGATTTATCTGGTAACCTCTGCAGCAAGATGAGGTATGTTCGTGCACTGCAATGTTTTTGTGGTATATATACAAATACAAATATGAGCCTAAGTAAATCATCCTTGTTGACTGTAATCCCAGCACACAGGAGGCTGCAAACACAAATCATGTTCCTAAAATGAATGTGTGTTCTTTTTTCAGTGAGACTGAGGCATTTTTATTTGCTGTATATCATTCAAGATTAATTGATAGAGCTAAGACACAAAGAAACCAAGTATTTGTAGAATTTTAGAGTTGAAAGTAACCTTACAAATTATATGAGTATTTTAGGAATAAATGGAATTTTAGAATAGTTATTTGACTCAGGTAACTGAGATAAATATTAGAAGAGGTAGGTTACATATGCAGCCTTTAAGTATTTAAGGTGATAAAATGTTAGATTATCAATCATCTTTTGTAATCACCTTTATGAAATAATGTAAGTGATAATTTTGTACTTTTCCAGTTACATTTTCTGAAATCTATAACTTACAGCATGCTTTTAAGGATGCTCAATTTACATACTTTTCATATCCCTAAAATAATCTTTTACTTGGAACATCAGCCTTCCACTAAATCCTCTTATGTCATCAAGACAGTGCCAACTAGAAGGTTGACCAACTACAAATGGTCAGATATCACCTTATTTAGTTTATTATGATTCTAATACTCAACTGTTACTATACTCCACCTCTCTGTGTACAACCTTTAGAGAGAAAACTTACCCATATATAGTTGAGGTAGCATATAAACTGATGGTTGAACTTGACTCCTGAACATTTGTTACCTTTGTTTAGTAAATATGTTTATAAAGATACTTCAGGATAGTAGTTTTGCTTATAGTCCCGTGTTTTGAGGTTCTGGGTTATACGATATGCTATTTAGTTTTAATACTGAAATAATCTAGAATATGTTAGTATAAACTTATTTAACGGTTTGAAACAGCTCTAACATTACTTTTGTACAGAAAAGCCAATCTCAAATTCTGCCTAAAAGTCAGCTTAACACTAAGCTTAAATAATCTTAAATGTGAAACATAGAATTTTTGTAAGAGAGATGACTTTCCTAAAAGTTAGTGCTTAAGTAGTACTTAATGTAAATAATATATATATATTTCTTTTTGTCTTTTTCATTTTTATCGGTACCAGGGATCGAGCTCACGGCCACCTCCTTGCAAGGCAGGTGCTTATACCACTGAGCTAAATCCCCAGCCCCTAAATAATACAATTTTATGGCCAATGCCTTTCACACTTTTTTAATAGGTTGAGATTCCTTAGCTATACTCTAAGGACTTTTAAGTATTTTTTTAAGGTTTTTATCTGTACCAGGGATCGAACTCACGACTGCCTGCTTGCAAGGCAGGCCCTTATGCCACTGAGCTAAATGCCCAGCTTAAGTATTTTTTTAGCCACCTATAAAGAAAAAAAAATTACTTTGAGGGAGAAAAATAGATAAAGAATATGGGGGAAATAGGTCTGTCCCCTGGGCCAAATGATTTTTGTTTAGCTTTTCTCATCCTGTAGGTCTTAATTTTACATTTCCTCCAGGAATACATTTTAGTTTTGTTTTTTAAATGTTGCACCAGGGATTGAACTCAGACCTCAGACCCTTAGGCATGTCTAGAGATTGAATGCAGGGCCTCATGCTAGACAAGTACTTTGCCACTGAGCTATATATTTTTGTTTTGCGACTGTCTTGCTAAATTGCCTGTGCTGCCCTCCAGCTGTGATCCTTCTGCCTAAAAGATCTGTATTTTTAAAGGAAATAAGGTGTATGATTTCTTCCAAATGAGAAAATAAGTTGGAGATGTGGTTTTTGGTTGTGTAGTACTTTTATCTTGTTTTTATATTTATCCTATTAAAGATACAGGTATTTCTCAATGGAATTGTTCAATCTGTGTAAGATGTCATTTTTTTGTGGTTTTTTTTTTTAAATGTGACCTCTACACTGAGCTACATCCCTAGCCCTTTATTTTGAGACAAGGTAGTACAAGTTTACCATGCTGGGCTCTAACTTGTGATCCTCCTGCCTCAGCCTGGTAGCAATCAAAGAAGAACAGGAAGTTTTTCATTGTACAACCTTTTGTTCTTTTTGTTGTAAAAGTATATATTTTTCTATGCAAATACAGAAAAACATTGTGAAATCCTCAATTTTTAATTTTAAAAAATCATGATTTAATGCGGCAGATCAATCATATTAACAGTTTAATATATTGTTGTTATATAAGTAACTCCAGGCCCCCCAAAAAATTCAGACTAAAAACAAAAGATTCACACTTCCCAGCAAACTACTTTGTCTGAAAAAGTAGAGTAAAACTTCAAGAGCGATTAGGGGAGCTAGATTAAATGTGAGATAGGTAAAGTAAAGGAAAAAGTGTTTCTAAAATCAGTATGTCTAGCCTTAACCTTTAAAAAATTGCAGTATAATCAGTGCATTATTTTCAGAGTATAAAATGAATTTCACAATTTTGTACTAACTACTCTAGTTCTTAGGTGACTTTTGGGATCAGAATTGCTCTGTTTTAAAGACATGGCTCAGGAAACAGTAAATGATAGAAATAAACTTTATTCAAATCTTTTTAAAAGTAGTACTTCACATTGTAATACCAGTAGACCACTGGAGTATAGTTTTATTTATTTTTGGTACCAGGAATGAAATCAGGACCTTGCAAAAGCCAGACAGGCGCTTATGCCCCTGAGCTAAATCCCAGCCCCTGGAGTATAATTTTAAATAGAAATTTACTCTGCTGCCAGAAATTCTAGTGGGGATAGAAGTAGTCAAAATGTTTTATGGGTCCCAGGTATTGCCTTGAGCCCCTGAGTAATCGTCACAATTGTAACAAGAATTTAAGGGCTCTAACCACCACTTCAAACCTTTGTAAAGGTGTAGGTTTTTCTTTGCACCAGTAAGGAAGATTTCAAGACAACTACTAGCACAAGGCCTATCAGCAAAAATAGGCAATTAAAAAAAAAATTTTTTTTTTGGTACCAGGGATTAAACTTATAACCTTGAGCTTGCCAGGCAGGCGCTATGCTGCTGAGCTGTATCTCCAGCCCTGACAATTTTAATTCTTGACTCTGAATATAACACAAAACCTGAAAATTATTAATAACTACACTAAACATGACAGATTATGCTGTGTACTTAATAGTATTAACTTTTAACCTTTATTCTCAGTAGAGTGAACTCAATTGTTTTGCACTCTTTAACGAGAAATTTAATAGTTTCTACTGTGTGCAAGGCACTGTTCTAGGCATGGGGCCCTTGGCAGTGAACAGACAAAGAATACCCAATTTTAAACAGGGTAATCAGCCTCAGTAAGGTGACATTTGAGCAAAGGTTTGAAGAAGTAGTAAAGCAAGCCAGGCCAGAGCAACTACACAGACGACAGGCTACACTCAGAGGTGCTGAGTCAGGGCTTCCTGGTCTGTTCAAGAATCTAGATCAGTGTGACTGGAGTGGAGTCAGGGATGGAAGGAGTAACAGGAAATAAATATTTAGGGCTGGCCGGGCCACTTAGATTTTGGCTATGTTAAAGAATTCAGCTTTTATCATGAGAAGGGAAATTCAGATTTTTTTTTTTCTTCTTGGTACCGGGGTTCAAACTGATGACCTCGCACTTGACAGGCAAGTGCTTGTGCCACTGAGTTAAATCCCCGGCCCAAAATTTAGAATTTTTGAGGACAACATTTCTTTTAAAATTCCTCCTGCCACTGAGTTGATAACAGAGGGGGCTCCAGTAACAGATTTTTGTGAATGGACATTGGCTCCTTGGTTCCGGACAGATGAAATTCCATGTGCCTGGTGAGAACTTAGTAAACAGTACAGCTTATGTTCAAGTCAGGAGTTGAGAGAAATCTAAGATAGTGCTGTAAATTTAAGTGTATAAAGCTGTGACTGGATGAGATGACCAAAGAACTAAGTATCGAAAAGGTAACTGGGGCATTAGCGGTTGCTCAGACCTCCAAGGCAGAGCCGGCTTTGAGATGGCAGCAGTGGTGAGGAAGGCGCCCCATGACAGGATCTGCACTTGGGCCGCTTGGTGCATAGTAGCTACTTGGCACTGGGGCCCACTCCTAAAGACTGATCCAGTAGTAGCTACATGCCACCAAAATTCTCAGTTCTGTTTGTCAGCCACAGTAGCCACATTTCAAGGGCTTTGCCCATTCCTGTGGAATGGGTAAAGAACATCACCAAGGTCACTAAAGTTCTGCTGAACTATTCTGGCCCAGAGGTCAACTGGAGAATGTTCTGAGAACACAAAGTGTTAAAAGCCAACCATTTGAGAACCAAGATTTGACCATCAGTTTAGTGTAACAGGACAGCAGTTTTTGTAGAAAAGGAGGTAAAACTTGATTAGGAAGACATGGACATACTGGGCAGGATTTGAAATCAAAAAATACAACTCTATAAAGATTTGCAGTTAGAATGGCTGTTTACTTATAGCAAACCTTGTTGAAGAAGCTGTTCCAAAGCACAGCTCTCATGACCAACAGTTGAGTCGTCAGTAAACATTACAGCAAAACACTGAACCACTGACTTTGAGCCTTCAGAGAGTCATTCGAAAGGCTTCTAAAACTGAGGCCCACCCCTATAAACTGATCCAGTAGGTTGAGAAGGGTCTTTAGCATCATTTGAATCAGTAGTTTTACTTTTTTACTTATTTCCTTGGATAACACCCATTCTGAGGCCAAGGTTGTAGCTCAGTGGTAGTGCTCAGAATGATCTGGGTTCAATTCCTGGCTCTGCAAAAAAACAGCACCCACTCACTGCCTTTGACGAAAACAAATACTAGTGCATGGTGATTCTCGATGGCCCAAAATTATATGAGCTTTTTATGTGGGAGAAGGTATAAAGTGATGGGACACATTTCATGCAAAAATGAGTCATGGCTGGGTGAGTTGGTACACACAATCCCAGCACTCAGAGGCTGAGACAAAGATCACAGATTTGAGGCCAGCCTGGGCAGTTCAGCAAGCCCTTTTCTCCAGATTTTAAAAGGACTGGGGATGTAGCCTAATGGGAAGGTCCTCGTTTCAGTTTTCATAACCAGTCATTTAAAAAAAAAAAAGCCATACAGCATTATAGTAAGCACGTGTCTTGTTTTAGAGATGGAGAATGTTAAATCTACCATCCCATCAACAAGGGAATCAACTCTAGTGTTATGGTTTGAATTGAAAATGTCCCCCAACAGCCTCATGCACATGTAAATGGGGTTTTAGGAAGGTGACTGGAGGGGTGTGACCTAGAGAATCTCCCTTTCTGACCTCCATGATACAAGCAAGTTTCCTCTGCTGGGGCCCTTCCTGCCTTGGAGCCAGCTGAACATTCAGTGAAAATATGAGACAGAATGTACTTCTAAGTTGTGGGTGTTGGGTATCTTGCCTCAGTGACAATAAAGTGACTAAGACAACTAGCTAATCTTAAAAAGACTACCATGACTGATGAACACACTGGTTTGATTATGGGTACAGTTACTTTCATGTGAGCACTGTAGCTCATTTCCACATCCCTGAAGAAAACCTTTTGTTTGTTGTAAAGGTTTTGAAATAGAATCAAGTTTCTAAACTTACATCTTTGGTGTAAAACTGACAGTGTGTTTGAAACCAGAAAAGAAGTATGACATGTTTCAGTGAAAAACAACAGTACTATGGAAGTCAAATGACTTGTTAAATCATAGTGGGAGACAGCTCTGTTTTCACATAGGAGAGCAAATACAAGTTATGAACCCTAGAACGCTTGTCTCTTCCCTAAACCCCTGAAGCACACACGTATTTGCCACTCATCTCACTACATAGCCCTGTATTCACTGCTTTTCATAATGCAATGTGACTATGAACTAAGTAATTTGCTATTATCCTGTCTCCTATATATCAATTTTAGTCTCTTCGTGGGTTACCTTATCCTTTTTACCCTACCAAAGGAATGCTTTGAGCTATTAAATAGCCATTTTAAAAAACTAGGCATATCCACATCTTGGATAAATAACTCCTAAATAATCAAAAAGCAGATTAATTCTGTAATCTGAAAACTGAAATTATATTTGCAAATGCATTAATCCTTCTCTTTGTAATATTTCTGTGATCAAGGCAGTTTGATAGTCAGAGATAAACATTGACTTTCCAAAGCTCAAAATGCAAGAATTACAAGTATAAAAGATACCAATCACTTCATTAAAAAGAAACCACTTCACAAGTGACAAACTCACAAACTTTGTAATACATAAAGTACTTACAAGACAAAAAGTTGAACCCATTTTCTTAAATCAAAAAATAGTTGAACTGATTTTCTTAAACCATTCCCAACTGTCACTGCTGCAAGACTAATAAGAGAGTAAAATACTCAATGTCTTGTCTTAATTTATTCTTCTTTAAAATTGTTTTTTGCTTTTTATTTTTTCCCCCTTAAGATAGGGTCTCACTGTATAGTTTAGGCTGACCTTGAATTCTTGGTGATCTTTATGCCTCAACCTTTGGAGCACTGGCATCACCAGATAATTTATCATTTTTTGAGAAGAAAATGTCAAAATGGCACTATAACCACAGATAGGTTAATTCCATGTGCTTTAGATTCCCTTTTCTGTAAAATGACAGTAGTACCAGTCTAGTAACTGTTTATAGGGCTACAGTGAAGGGGGGGGAAAAGCTCTCAAAAAATAATGCCTGTAGCATGCAAACTGGGTATTCAAACGATGCAAGTGGTTTTGGTTATCTGACACTATCAGAAACCGGCATTTCAAACTGCTGTTTATTTGGGTAACTGAGTGTACTACATCAGAAGATTCAGTAACTAGAACAGTCACTGTGATAAGGGATGTTCTGCAGCTTTTGAGTCACAAAGATACCTGCCCTATGTTTTCAGTAAGTCTGCTGTGGAATGCTTAGCCTTTTGGGTCAAATGTGACATAAAGTGAGGTCACTAACTTTCAGGCTTCTAGTAGCTCAGTCAAATTGAGGGGAATTTTTCTAAAACTGCCATTTCCATTCTTTGGCATGATTAGGGAGACCATACATAGTGTTTAAAAGTTTGTCATCCTCAAAAAGCACTATAGTACAGGGTAAGGAACACAAGCATCAGGTGCCTGTTGTAACCTTGACTCTGTTACTTAGTAGCTGTATGACCTTTAACAGGTTAATTTTTGCCTCAGTTTCTTCATTTGTAAAATCTGAGTAATTGCCATCTTAGGGGTACTGAAGTGCAACAATTGTATAAGGCTTTTAAAACAGGCTGAACAGAGTAATAAGCACCAAAAAATGTTATGACTAAAAAAAGTATTTTAAAGTTTGACCAGTATTAACAGAACTGTATAAAAATGTAGCCTGATCCCAGAAAAGAAAAAAACTATTTTCATTTTTTAGTTATTTGTATTGGTACCACACACAGAGTATTACAGATGCAAAGGAGGAGGTACAAGGATCACATTTTCATGCCATTGCCTGAAGACCTGACCTTGGGCCAGAAAAGAAAATCAGGATGATGACATGATAGTACCTTTTAAAAGGATATCAAAATGATCTGAAGGCCTAAATTCCTTATATTTTCACTGACCATCTTGTTCCCATCTTTTGTATACCTTATTTCTAGTCAAACATTTAGTCTTTCTCACATAGTTTTTTTAAACCAGTAACATTAATAATGATTAATCTAGCCATTACCCAGAAAAAGAACAAATTCTGCTTATGGCTGGACATGTGCTCAGTGTTAGAGTGTGCTTGGCATGTGCAGGCCTGGGTTCAAGTCCCTAGCACCAGGGGATAAAACAGTGATCATCTCAGTAATTTATACCAATTCGTCATAAACTGAAAGTGAACAAACATTAAACTTAGCTACCATAGGATAAACTGGTCTTTTAGTTTGAAGAATTTTACAGCATGTCAAGTAATTGTATAAAATTTAAACTTTTATGACCATGTTTGGACCTTTTTACACTTAACACGATGGAAATGTTCTTACTCATTTTTTCCCCCAAAGGAAAAACTAAATCATCACTATGTTGCACAGTAGAGTAGAAATACTTACTCAAGTTCCTAAACAATGCAAGTAACAAGACACAATTTTACTTCCAAAATCTGAAGTCAGCCATGATTCTGTAGTACTGTATCTCAGGCTTTCCCTAAGAAGTCATTATTCAGATAATGATCATTCCCTGACCACATTTTTTAAAAAGCCTCAGCCCCACCACAACTTCCTGAGATTTGTAAAGAAACTGCAGTCTTGTGATCACACTACAAATAGTTCTGGCAGTTTTGTAATTGTAAGGTAAAACGGCGACTGATTTATGTGTCAATCAGTTGTAGTCTGCTGATCTGATTAGAAGCCTTGACAAATGCTTGGTGGCGATTGCAAATAACTGCCAAGCATATGGGGATGATGCAGTAGCCCACTGTTTTGGGATCAGCTCTTGTACAAGAATAAAGAAACAAAAACATTTGTAAATAAGGTATTAGAAAAATGATTGTCCACAACCAAAAAGGCAAAGAGAATAACCGAACTTTCAAGGAGTGTGTCCATGTGGTTCCTTCACTAGGCTCCTCCGGGTGCTGTTGGATGTGTTCCAGAGCCAGCCTATTATAAGTCTCATTGATTTCAAAAACATAGTAGAATGCTGCTGCACTTGCTAATAGATATAATCCCACTCCAATCCATCCCATCCGCTGACGGAAGTTCATCATTCTCCATGCTCTGGGCCTTCAACAAAAAGACAATACAGTTAAGGTTTAGTAATGCTGTCATGGCAGCGCTTCCAAATGTACTTGGTTTAGCGGGGGTGGGGGGGTGGCTTACACTTGTAATTCCAGCACTCTAGAAGCTGAGGCCGGAGGAACCTGGGAGTTTAAGGCAAACCTGGGCTACCTAGTAAATTCAAACCCAGCCTGAGCTACATAGTGAGATCCTGCCTTCAAAACGAAACATGCCCAAATGTGCTTGGTTTAGTTCCAAGAATTCTAAAATACCCCACTAACATTCAAGATTTTTTTTTTTTTTTTTTGTCTTTTTCCTTTTTATTGGTACTGGGGATCGAACTCACGACTGCCTGCTTACAAGGCAGGCGCTTATGCCGCTGAGCTAAATCCCCAGCCCCCAAAGATTTAAAATACATTTATCTTAAATGCCAACAACTTACAGGTGGTTGCTTTATATCTAATAGTTATGAGCAAGTACAAAACGCTGGTTGCAGTATATTGACTTCTGCTTTTCATGTGAATCCCACAAAATGAGTCATTACATTATAATGTACCTTCTGCTTAAACAAGTCCAGTACATCTTCCTTCAGAAACTGAAAGTACCCTATAGTACATTTCATTTACACAGCTTTATGCCTTAATAGTATTGCTTCAGACGTGAATATTGGGTTCTTCAGTTAAATCAATGGCAGAGGCCCCAAATTAAGACAGTAACTCTTGAACACTTACAGCGGTCCCGAAAATCTTCCTGTTCCCACGGCAAGCGTTAAAGAGTCACTCACTTCTGAGTAATCGGGTGCCTTTGGCATTGCAAAGAAGCCACCATAAAACAAATCTCCTGGGCTACCCGGCTCGGACAGACATGAGCACCGCCAGCCTGGAGCACCAACTAACTGTGATTAAGTACAGCGTGACCAGCGCTAGTCACGCGGGGGCCGGGCGCCGGTCGCCGCTGCCGGAGCCGTCTGGTTCCTCCGGCCGGTCTGGAGGTTCTGGGGCCTCCTGTCGCGCCGCAGCGCCCGCCTGCCTGCCGCGACCAGAGCAGTGCAGACGGCGCCAGGCCTCGGCCTCGGGGTCCTGCAGCAGAGCCAGCACCGCACCTCGCGGGGACCGCCTGACGACACTGACTGCAAAACTGAGTGGGTCCCGGGTCTCACCTTCCTGTCCCGAGTGGCCCGCCCGCCCGCCGTCCCGGATGCCGCTGCAGCGGGGGCTTCCGGCTCTGGCACGAAGCGCACGCGCACGCTCCCGGCCCTCCCCCTAGTGACGTCAGGGAAGCGCCACCGCTCCGCTTGCGTCTGGGGCTGCTCAGACAGACCGGCAGTGCGAGCGAACCGGTCGCGTAGGCTAGGCTGGGCATTCCCAGGATTCGCGGCCTGCTCTCAAGGCTTCGCTTGCGACTCTGACCGCCGAGTCACTCCTGGCAATGGAGAACACGGCAGAGACGGGGCGGCCCGGCATCCACCGCGGACGCTGGGCGCGCCTCAGGAGCGTGCAAGGAGGCGGCGGCGCCCGCCTTCCCGCGCGGGCCTCACCGCAGGTAGCGGTGAGGGGAGCACGCGGCGGCGGAGGCCGGAAAAGTGCTGCTTACGCCTTGATTCCCGGCGGACAGGTTGTGGACCTTTAATGAGCCTGACTGCTCAGTCCTCGGCAAGTTTACGAGCCCCGTGTGGGTAGTGCGCAGAATTACCATAAAGTACTGGGAACATCTGCGTACCCGACAAATTCCATCTTAAATCTTCTGGGCACCCCGACGCTACAGCTCTTGGAAGACTGGTGCAGGTGAATGGACATGAACCTTCGGACAGCGTTCTTGATTGCCGGTATCCCCAGACCTGCAGGCTGGTCTGGCCCCCTTGGGGGATTCATACTGCTTGGAAAGATGTTCTGGAGGGAAGAGGACAGGAACGTGGCTCTAAGAGGGCTTACTTAGAGCACTAGTCACGTTTTGGGCCTCAGGTACCTGGACCAGGGGACTTCTAGAGAGTGATCTTAAAGCCTCTCTGGCCCCCAAAATGAATTTTTAAGCAGAGTAAGTGAGTTTTTCGAGAAAGAGGGCATGACAGTGAGTGAGTTGCCATTTCTTGGGTATGGAAATGACGCTAATGACCTAGACCAGGGCATGATCCCTGAAATGCAGGCCCCATTGTTGACACAGGCATTCGATAAAACCCTTCAGCTTACCCTGCAATACCTGAAGTACAAAAAGCTGAGCGCATTCTCAGGCAGAAATCCTCCGGAACCAGTTGAAGAATTTGGACCTTAAATGTTCCGCACCAGTTTGGTGAAGACATGGATAGTGTTAGATGCTGAGAAAAGAAAGCGATTGACAGCATCGCAGGCCCAGCGTTTGATATATATTTATATTCCAAGACAAGTAATACTGTAATTACAGTCCCCAAATGCCTGCAGGCCCTAGTATCAGGGGTTGATAATCCTAGAGAGTTGCAGGTGAAATATCTACCCATTTATCAGAAAAAGGAGGAGAAGTTAGTCCTACATACTATGGCTCAAACCTTTATTACGAAAACTGGTACAAAGAGGAGCAGTTAAAAAGGTGTGAATTAAGACCCGCCTATATCAAATCATTGCTGGGACTGAAACAGCAGCTGGAAAACAGCTTAATCTGCCAGAGGGTGGCCCAGCCCCTGGTTTATTTCAATTACTGCTACTAATGAAAGTTAAGGAGGCAGCTGAGGAGGAGAAGGCTTTTTTCACCTGAATCTTGGGAAACCAGCGAAGCATGCTGCGTGCGATGGGCAGAGTGTGAAGGTTGATCAGTCACCGCCAAGTAACTCATTGTGCTGCTTTGTTTCTATCATTTTTGAGCCTATTGAATGACTTCCAAATGTGTCATTGACTAGGAGGGATATGGTTCTATACTAATGTTTATTTAACTTCTCAGTGAATTTTTGGTCATACATACTTGCACAAATACCTGTCACTGCTGTGCAGGTGCACAGCAGTGCAGTGTCCTGAAAGGACAGGCAAGTCTCAGGCTCATATGTTGCCCAAACCTGGAGATGCCAGCTTGTTTAGTAGTAGGTGCCCCTGCCAGTGTCACGTGATGTGTGTCATTAGTAGTTTTCAACTTTGTGTTGCTGTTTATTTAAGGTAAAAATCACTTGTTTTAGTTAGGATATTGTTGTTTTCTGTGTAAATCATAATCACTGATTATGTGCCATTCTGTGCTGGCCCAGAATTCAGGTCTCTAACTGCAAAACTTGTCTTTTTTCCATTGCCAATAGAGGAAAGCAGTCCTCGGAGTACTCAAGGCAGATTGAGTGCTGAGGTTCATAAGTTTGCAATGCCCATCTTTAGATTCCTGATGTTACCACACCATCTTTTACATGGTTTTAAAATTATAGGTATGAAGCCAGCTGTGGCGGCATGCCTGTAATCCCAGCACTTGGGAGGCTGAGGCAGGAAGATTTTTGCAAGTTTGAGACCAGTCTGGGCTACAAAATGAGCTCAAGGCCAGCCTGAACTACACAGTGAGACCCTGTCTCAAAAAGACAGAAATAGAAGCCTGAAGTTAGAAAGATTCATTACCAGCAGCAAGAACACAAAGTCTGGTTCCAAAGAGCCTTTCTTGAAGTATTCTCAATGCGTCTGGTAAATGCTACATAAAAGCAAAAGACAAATGGGCATGGGCGGTGCCGGGAACAAACCCAGGCAATGCCTTGCACGTGGTAAGCAAGTACTCCATCTTTACGCTACAACCCTTGCCTTTAAAAACTTTTTTCCAGGTACAGAGGATTAAATCCAGGGCCTTCACACTGAACTACAACCCCATACCCTTTTAAAATTTTGAAACAGAATCTCCCTAAGTTGCCTAGGCAGAATTCAAATTTCCCTCAGCTTCCTAAAGTGCTGAGATTAAGGTGTGCACCACCACACCAGCTTAAAAAATTGTTCATGGCAGCTATGTTTATAAAATTATGTAAAATAATAAAATTATATATTCTTGTGTAGTATATTTACTATGTAAATGATAGGGCACTAAAACACTTGAGATAATGGAATTTAAATGATAGTTTCCTTTATTTCATACATGTGCTTTTTATTTTAATGAAAAATATATAGGGCTAGGGATTTATAAAGCTCAGCAGCATGAGTGCCTGCCTGGCAAGTGTGAAGTCATGAGTTCGATCCCTGGTACCAAAAAAAAAAAAAAAAAAATGTATATATATATATATATCTCTCTCTCAAATATATCCTGGTAGCAATATATATATATATATATATATATATATATATATATATATATATATACCAAAGAGAGCTGGCGCAATGGTGCACATCTGTAATCCCAGAACTCTTGGAGGCTGAAGTCGAATTGTAAATGTAAGCCCAGCCTAGGCAATTCATTGATTTGGCAAGAATCTATAATAAATAAAAAACAAAGGCTGGGGATGTAACTCAGTGGATGCCCAGTACCACACACACAGAGACACACACACCCCACATTGCTCAAGGAAACAAAACGATGTCACAATTATAGCCAGCCTGGAAGAGCTCCCAGTGATCCAGTAGCAGCTATAAGAATTTGAGCTACAGGATAAGTAACATTGTGTTAAGTTACAACCCAAAGCATAAAATACCTATGTTTATGCTAATTTGAATAAAGATTGAATGCATAAGTGCAGGAGATGAGGCAGATCTTCCTTCCGGAATTTCAGATAACTCATGTGGCTACTGCCAACTTTGGGCAGTGCAGTTTATTTGGCTTTTCACCTTGCATGTGAACTGAACTCAGTGACTTGCTTTCAATAAATAGAGTATAGAAGGGGATGACCAGAAACTTTTCACTGCAAATCCTACCACCACCGGGTGACCCAAGTTCACATCAGAGATGTCGTTTGGTTCAGCAGGCATCCCTGGTAGGATGTGATCACAGGGGCCTTTACCACTATGGTTTTCTTCCTGAACCCACAACCCTAGGTTAATCATAAAAAACACCAGACAAACCCAACTTAAGGGGTATTAAACAAAATACGTGGCCAGTATTCCTCAAAACTACCAAGATCATTTGTAAAAGATGGAAAGAAAAGATCTGTCCCAGACCAGAGGAGACTGTGGAGACACATTGGCTATATGTCATGTTGTATCCTGAAGTCATCTTGGAACAGATCAGGACTCCAGTGGAAAAGTGAAATTCAAATAGAGATAGGAGTTTAAGGAGCAGGACCGTATCAGTGTATCAGCCTGGAGTTGACACATCTCCCTTTGTTATGTAAAATGTTCATAACGGGGAAGCAAGTGAGTACAGGAGCAAGCCGAAACTCTTCTGTAAGTCTGCAACTACTATTCTAGTTAGACCAGAATCAGCACCAGAGCACATGCTTAGCATTGGGACCCTGGGCTCAATATCCACATACTTCTTTCAAACTTGTAAATTTACATCACATTACATATCTAGATACATGCACAGTTTATAATGACCTGGTTGCCAACCAGTGAAATGGCAAGAATACAAATCACTGGCGCTCCCTCCCTTCCTAACAATTATTCATTTAAACACCACGGGGTGGCGCTAGCACTCAGGGTGGCCGGCCAAACACGGAGCCATGGATTCCTATGAAAATGGTAACACAGTAGCCGCCCTCCAAGTTATGTGGAAAAATATTTCAGTACTCAGTCTGTCATAGTAGCGTCCTCTCTAGGTCCATGGGACTGGCCTCTGTAAGTAGAGTAAGCCTAGGATTTTGATGACTGTGCTTATCAGCTCCCTAATAAGGTCTGTTAGATCATATCCACATCAAAGCTCAACACGGGTTTCACACTTGGAAAGTAATTCACATTTCTGAATTAGTAACACATATACTATAATCTATATAATAATGATAACAGCTCTCATTGGTTGAGCTCTTCCAACATCAGTGTTAAATGCATTATACATGTAGTCTTATTGAATTCAAATTAAAACCTTTGAAGCTATACATATTACTACCCCTAATTTCAAATAAGGAGAAGGCATTTGAATAGGTAAAGTGGTTTGTCCAGAGTTACAAGCCTTAGAAACCCATCAAGATCTGTCTCTCGTAGTCCCCTGGGATGTCTTGGCTCAGAGCAGCACCCCTCCCAGAGCAAGTACAAGCAAACAGAACTGTTGATGGAGCCACTTTGTGATCACAAACCCTAAACGTCT